CTACACAAATTCCATCCATTTATCTAACTATCTTCGTTGCCGGACAAACCCTAATGGTCTCGAGCAACACCAAGCATCCCCATCTTTCCCTGAGCGCCCAAAAACACCTCTCTCCCTCTCACCTGTTCTCCTCCTTAAACGTCCTCCAGGTAAGTTCAATTATCCATACATTGTCAATCAGACGAGAACATGCTGCAAAAAGGTTCCTATAGGCGGGGCCAAAGCCCAACTAAGAAACGAACTCCCCCAGCGTTCATCACACTATCCCCTCCCCTCGGATAGACCGGACTCATCCTCGAGTCACATCAAATTATAATCCCTAGTCCAAGCTGGTGGTCTCCGAGAACGAGCTGGCTGAATCCTTTGAGGACATGGCTCTGGAAGGGCGTTTCTGATAAAGACGTGTTATGTATAATATGGAAGCCCGTTTCCGCCACTGAATAAAAAAAATATAATTCTGTAAGTCATAATGAGAAACTTTCTCAAAATTATGACTTAGTATCTCGTAATAATGCCTTAGCCTAATACAAAAAAAAGACTTACTCGACGCCTGCGCAACGCAAGAGTGATAGCACGCTAGCGCCATCTGTTGGTCAAAGCAATGCAGGAACACCGCTAACATTGCATGTGATGCATGAAAGGGACAGCTAATAAAACCAATAAATCATCGAATAAATTAAGTTTAGAAAATATCTCATTATTACGAGAAAGTAAGTCATTATTATGAGAAAATAAGTAATTATTATGAGATACTAAGTCATTAATACGAGAAAGTTTCTCATTATTACGAGATACTAAGCCATTATTATGAGAAAGTAAGTCATTATTATGAGATACTAAGTCATTATTATGAGAAAATAAGTCATTATTACGAGAAACTAAGTCATAATAATGAGAAACTAAGTCATCATAATAATGAGAAACTTTCTCGAAATAATGACTTATTTTCTCATAATAATGACTTAGTATCTCATAATAATGACTTATTTTCTCTAAAGTTTCTCATTATAACGAGATACTAAGTCATAATTTTGAGAAAGTTTCTCATTATTATGACTTACAGAATTATATTTTTTTATTCAGTGGCGGAAACGGGCTTCCATAGTACTGAGACCTGGTGTGCCGTGTTGTATGTGTTTTTATCAATTGTATTTTAATAAAGTGACTTGTTTATTATTATTATTATGCTCACCCTGCCTTTGGCAACGAGCATGTGTCCCTTTGTTTAGGGCTGTTATGTCCCGGTGTATTCCGGGTGGCGTAGTCCACTATAGGATTTCTCTTATTATTGGTCATTTTCAAACTCCTGACCACTTACTGCCACACTAAGAACTGTTAGTCATCAACACGAACGCAGTTTCACTTCAGCAGGTGTGAGCAAAAAGAGGAAGAAAGAGAGACCTGACTACATAGACGCTCTCGAATAGATCTAATTTTGACATTCTGAAATTCCTTCGAGAGAACTTATAGTCAAATGAAACACTCACCCAGCATATTTGCATGTATCAGCAAAGCAACATTTCTTTGACATCAAAATGATTGTGAAGTTTTTTTTGCAACACGCCGAATTCTCAGTTTCAAGGAGCATAATTTTTGGATCGACCACAAGATGTAATTAAAAGGAATCTTCAGTGTATTAGTGAGCATGCTACATATTAAGAGGATGTCGTTACATTTGTATCAGATCACAGAATAAACAGTGTTTGTAAAATGGGCATTTTACAACAAGACAATTTGTTTTGAATTCTTTGCTGCTCATCATGCTTGTTAGAAACTGCACATGGGTTGTTCAGTTTATTACTGTTTGGCTATTATTAAGAAAAAAAATCCTTGAGTGCTCGACAGTTTGCAGCTGCTGAATGTGAGATGTTCATCTGCACTGGTGGATCCCCAGAGATGAAATATTTAAATACAACACCCGAAAACCGAGAGAGAAACACACAGTAAAATGTGATGTGAAACACATTGCAATGCACATTTGCATTACCCTAAATTCCAGCTTTTCTAGGAATTTGTGTGCAGTTTAAATCAGTCTTAAAAGATCATAAAAAATAATTGTAAAAATTTAGATTAGTTTGAGATATGACTCTCTTCTAAATATTCCAATGGTGTTCAAAAGCTTTACTTTATTAAGCTGTATGATTTAGCAGTTCATCAGAAATCTACAGATGTTTTTGCCCTCATACTTTTAGATAAGCAGCAAACACATCGAGACTGAGGTCATGGCTGTATATTTTGTTAGATAATATTCTCACATTTTAGTATGTCCTGAGGGATCTCTGCTAATATCACAGTAATATCTACTGAACATGCAAGATAATGTCATTTGTAGTAAGAGGCTGATATAATATTCAAAAGAGTACAATCTCATTTTGACAGAGATATAATAAGACTTTATTGATATGTGTACATATTTGTCAGTGTCTTCAAAAATGTGTGCACAGAGGCAAATTATGTAGTTTCAACATCTCAGAAAGCCCATATGTTTTTCAGACAAGCTTACAGAAAGACAGGAACAGACAGAGCAAAAGAGAGATAGAGATGGCATGGTTATTTGATTTCTAAATACATTAGACTAACATTTAATTACAGTCACAAAACAAATAAAAAACCTTTGAGTCTTCACAAGTTCTTTTAACAAATCATCACTGCTTCACCTGCAAAAAAAGATATATCTATAGTTAAAAACACATTAAAGACTTAATGCAATCTAAATTGAAGCATGAATTTAACACTAGCAACATGCAGTAAAAGTTCCAAAAGGCATCATCTTACTTAAAATGTTTGGCATGTTATTTAGTAATATTTGTATTACCTTGAAGAAGCTGAGCACAGCGCTGTAGGTCAGAGAAAAGAGGAAGAGGAAGATAAATGAGGTGGCAGTGGACCAGAGACTTCTGAACTCATCCTCCTCCAGAACATCTTTATTGCAGTCCAGAGCAAAGCCTGTCTCTGGCTCAGGTGGCTCACCTAAAAAAGAAAACACATGTACAGGAGACATATGTATGGTAAGCACATGGTGCAACACATATGTGAGAACATAAATCATACATCCTGGATTAAAAGTCCAGTATTATTAGACTTCTAGTTAGTAACACTTAAGCACATGACAGCTTTATGTACTGCATACGTGTACTCACATACATTCATTTGCACACACAACTGAGTGTACACTGAAGAGACAAACATACAGTATATTATAGTCCAGTCTGTTAGACATTGTTAGTGCATTAGAACATACACTTTATAAAAATATACAAAGGTATATTATTAAATTTATGGTATGCTTATCAAGTAACTTACTTTTTTCAGCTGACATACTAATAATACAAAAATATCACATATACCATCTTTTATTGATTGAAAAGGCCAATAATTCCTTGTGATTTTGATGGTTATCTTTAGAATTTAATAAGTGGCTTTACTAGAGACAGACACAAAAAAATGTCTAAATACTGAAGAAGAAAAAACGGGAGCAGAAAGTGAAGCACACCAAGTTTCTGATTAGAAAAACGATGTGAGAGCTGGACTAAATCATGCAAACAAATATTTATTGCTTGTAAAACAACACAAAAATGGCATGTTATATTATAGGCTAACAGCAGTACAGTAAGCACGGAACAAAACATAAAGAAGCTCTATGATATTGTTCCGACAATGTTTTCATGTGACCAAATTTATGTGATCAATATCAAATTAAACATATAGTCTTGAGTGTAATTTGACTTTGATGTTTGACCCATGCAGTAAAGTGATACAGACATACAGACAGAAATATGCACAAAAAACATCAAAGATACTGTACATAATCTGACGAGAGAGCAATAGGACAAAAGCACTGGAACACTGAACAACAGATGAACAATGATAGTTTGGAAATGCTTGCACATTAATCACATGAAAGTTCTGGCTGTTTACTTTGGCTTGTTGAAACTTCTAATGGAACACCTTTTTTGTCCATGTTGGCATATTTGACTGCGCAGCTGATGGTGTTTTTATACTCTTGTTCTGAAACTGTTAGGATGCTGAGAACAGACGTGGAGTGCTTTTGATGGATGGGAGCACTGTTTGTGCCCTCTCTGTAAGACTCTTTACCCACTCTCCACATGATATAGACATCGCTGAGTTTAGGACTGGTGACCTCACACACCAGAGAGACATGATCTGTGACGTTACTATCAGGTTTGTAAATGGTAACATTTGGTTTATTTTCATCTGAATTGGAGGAAGTGATAAAGGTTAATAGAACAAACAGAAAAATCACACTATAATGAATAACAATAGTGTATCAAGGCAGTCTAATCTTTTTGACAGAAATAATTTCAAATGTGCTTGAAGGCAATATTTTATCTTATTTGTATTTTTTTGACAGGCAATTAAGTTATAAGCATCTATCATAAATGCACATAGAGCCACAAAGTTGATTTAAAAGTTTTAGACTGACTTACCTCCTTTTTGAAAACGGATCGTCTGCTTGATGTCTCCGTTATTTATGTCACTGATGGTGCAGGTGACCATGAAACCATCAAACCATTTATTTGTATTAACGGTGACATTGTGAATTATTTTAAATTGTGACGTGTCAGTAGAAAATTCAACATTCCCTGTTGCAATATTTTCATTGGGCACATGTTCATCCTTCACTTTACATGATACTGAAGTGTCTTGCACTGTATTTCTTACATCTCCAGAAACAACAGCTTGCAAGACAATTTTATCATTAACAAAAAGTTCTTTCTGAATTGGTGGCTTCATTGTCAGTGACAATTTAGCTACAAGGGAGAAAGAAAGTAAATATTACTTAATGTGTAAATGTGGTGTCATCTGTGATATAAATATCTAATATGTGTATATCTGTGAATTGGGATCAGTTTGAAGGAGTGTGTCTTTGTGTGAATTTGAAATAGAAGTTAAAGTGTGAACTAGAGAGAGCAAATCAACATTAGAAATATTCAATAATACACATGACAGATTTACTTTTTAGGGTTGTTACAGGAACCAGGGTTGGATTTCTTGGACTCCCTGCAATTAAAACAATGATTACATCCAGTGAAACTGTGGAGGACATCCAATACTTTGCAAACTTATGTACACATATGTGGGGTGATCTGGCGGTGGAGCTAGCAACATACAGGTGAAAGCAGATAGGTCATGAAAAGCAAAAAAAAAAACAAAAAAAAACGGTGCAACATGCCTTTTTAAGCAAGCAAATAAAATGCTCTTGTAGTTGAGTTTGAACTGCAATGTTAAATGTTGCATATTTATATGTAAAAAATGTTTTTCTCTATTTTGGTTTATACAGTGGGGTGGGTCTCATATGTCATTGCATTCCCTGACATAGGCTCAGAAATGAAGTATTTCCGAATTCAACAGCATATAGAATAGAAAGACACATGAAGTAGCTAATGTAAAATGCAAAAAAAAAAAAACAATTGAAATGTAACTTACGTGGAGCAACAGGGGATTCTAGTGTGCCTTTAGAATTTGAAGCTTCGCATTTGTACGGTTTCTTAGGATCCCAATCGCTTTTTCTTATGCGCAGAGAGCTGATTTTGGTATAGTCTCCATCCGGTCCGAATGCTGGATACTGCACGAAATCACTCAAATCCTTCGTAGTAGAATCCGTCCATTTAAAAGTAAGCGAGTCCACAGGTGAGAAACCTCTTGCCAAGCAGCCGATGGTGAGGAACGCATCAGAATCAGAAGTACACTGGGACATGGGGAAGATTGACTTTGGCGCAGAAGGTTGAGCTGTAGAGACAACGCATCGTTCTCAGACAATATAGAACCTGTATAACGTATATATGCAACACGTTTAGGCCTATTAGAGAGCTAGACTACGTCTCAAATGAATGACTGACTGGATGAATTAATGAATAATATAAAAATATAACAAAATTAAACTAAAATGAAATAAATGATAAATTAACATATAATAAAATAAAACAGTATGATTGAGTTTAACTGCTTTTACACGAGAAGACACCGCGGAGTATCTTCACTTTGCGTCAATGTCCCGATTATCCTACTTTGCAGGAATGATCATCTTAGTATGTTATGCCGCACACAAGCTATTTAACAAATAAATAGGCCTACGTATGCTACTACATGGGTATTAAATATTGATTTGAAATTGTGGAGACCGAAGAGAACACGAGCACAGCTATTTTGAAACAGGTCAGCCCTGGAAAGCCTAACTGTTATTTATTAGACGCTGATTGACCAATTAGAATAAAGTATTTCGATGAGCCGCATAATAAAACACACGGACTAGGTAAAACATTTCTTTCTCTTGGATGCACAGGCAATAGGCTAAATAAAGTGATATCTAAACTAATTTATCACTGGAATTTTTGACTGCAGAATTACTTTTCAGTATGTTTTAAATGAATCACTTCACATAACCTATGAAATATAAGTTAAAACAAACAAATAAAATGAAAACAATGACAACCTTTTGAGAATTTGAAATAAGAGCACTATATAGCCGTTTGTAACCATGGAATCATGCGAAAATGTGATAATTAAATCGATTAATTGCAAATATTTATTAAATAGCCTATAGGCTGTTTATCGACCAAAGACCTACGCCGTTGTTTTATTCATTTATTTGCTTTATTCATTATTTAAAACAGCTTAATTATATTTTAATAACACGGGATGCAATCTATTACTAAAAAAAAATAACACTTAGGCCTAATGGCTGTATCAGTGCAGAAAAACGCACGAGACACGATGCAGTCATGAAGCAAGTTTCGTTTGAAGCAAGTCGTTTAACAATAACTATTATTATTTTATTTTTCAATGTTTTATTTTTAGCAGCTATACAACGAAACGATATTATAAAATGATGTAGTCTTTTACATTTTCTAATGAAATAACCAAATAACCATTCATTTGACAGCAATTCATATTTTCAATTAATATATTCAATTTGTCTTATTTTACGATAACTGTCCTTGCCATTAATAATAAAATCTTACTGTTTGTTACGGTGACTTTGGTGCCGCTTCCCCAGTAGTCGAAAGCCCAGTTACACAATATTCTTTTAATGTTACAGAGCAGTATAAAAATGCAACTCAGAAATGCTCAGGATCTGTTAAATGGCCTGTAGCCGATTCGTTGTTTTATCTGAATGCGTGTAGGCTACACATCAAAATATGTACAATTTAATTATTCATAATTAATGTCAATCTTTGCGTTTCTAGCAAAACTCTAAAGACATGCCACGACTTTAATTGTCCGAATCGTAGAGTAAATAGCCATTTAAACGTCGCTTAAATATAAAAACAACTTTTTGACAAATTAGCCTACCTGTCACAATTTTTCGTACTTGACAGTTTTACCCATGGATATTGTACAAAAATAGTGCGCTCGTATGACAAGTCACTTTTATTTATTATCCTATAAGCCACAAATTCGACTGTTTATCCTTTTAATTCAGTCTAAGTTTCATTCTTGCAAAACGGACAAGCGGTCTGTACATTTAGTTTTCCTATTATTTTTAAAACACATATCAACGCTTATGAAAGATTTAAATTGTAGTTCTTACCAGATGTCACTGTGACCGACGTGCCTTTCCCCCAGTAGTCAAAGACAGCGTAGTCACAGTGATACTTTTAATTTCTTCAGTGCACAAAAACTATCAGCAAACCCAGCTACAATTCTATTTATTTCATAATTAAATGCAACATTGTCCATGATTTCTCTCTCCCTCTCTCTCTCTCTTTCTCTCTTTAAACTAGTGGACTAAAAGTCTGTTACTAAACATGCATTTTTTGTAGTTTGGCTCTAACTAAACACAAATCTGACTTCTTACCTGATGTTACAGTCACCGTTGTTCCCTTTCCCCAGTAGTCAAAGGCACCGTCACAACGAGAAGATTTACGATAAGAGCCATACCATAACCCTAATAGTACATTTACACTGTCCTGCCATAGGCCTCCGTTATCAAACCGACTAGTTTTGAGATATTGCGCGAATTTTCTTTAATCTGAGAGTTTTGCTCGATATTGTTTACGATTACTGACGTCCCCTTTCCACTATTAGCAAAGACAACAATTGTAAATACGGCTGCATGTTATTTGTGTCAAGAGCACTTACCTGATCTTCAAAATTGAATGAAAATGGAATAACAGAAAATGTCAACAATATCTTACCTGAGGAAACGGTGACTTTGGTTCCTTTCCCCCAGTAGTCGAAGTAGGTGACACAGTGACTGGTGCCTTTGAGTTACTGACCAAAAACCTACAAGAAGAAGCAGTGTTTTCAAGGATTTAGTGAAAACATCTCTTCAGCATGCCTTTCTGTAGCTGCCCTCCAGTGTAGGTTAGAAATATGATTTGCGCTAAAGATATAGCACTAATGTTCTATACTATCCAAAACATGAAGACACTGATATTAAAAAGTGAAACCGTTTTTAGGCTATAACAACCTTAACCAAACTCTTCATGCATCTGCCCCTACTAATAATAAAAATAAAAATAAAAACTTTGAGATACTCGTTTTGCATCATTAATATTGTCATTCATTCATTCATTCATTCATTCATTCATTCATTCATTCATTCATTCATTCATTCATTCGTTCATTCATTCGTTCGTTCACTCGTTCATTCAATCATTCATACATAGACCTACATACATACATACAAACAATCAACTGTTACTTCTGGTCCTCGAAATATAAAATCTTTTTTATTTAAAAGAGACTGAAATTGCAAACAGGGATTTTTTTTTTTTACTTTTAGCAACACCTTGTAGAATGCAACCAACAAATGCATTGACCAGCGTTTTCATGGGAAATTCTCTTAACAGCTGAAAGGATCTTACAACAAAGATAACTCTTTCTTCAGTGGACATTCAAACTGATGTTTCATTGTGAATATGAGACTGGACTGAAGAATGAATGCTGTATCAGATGCAGGTGTCACTCGCTCAGTACATCTCTCTCTCATAATACTCTACATAACACAATAAGCTGTTCACTTGAGTGAAGCAGCCCAACATTCCTTTGCTAGTTCAGAAATGATGTTTTCTATTTAGTAATAGAGGCTTGGGCTCATCTGTTAAACTGTCAACCTGAGATCTAAATCAGTGGCAGAAGGAAGTAGTTTTTTTTAAAGACACTCCTATTTATTTACATACGTGTTCTGTCAAACTTTTGTAAAACCACAATATCACACAAGTAGCCATGTGACATGGGTTCATATCAGAATCACATCTGTGCTGATATGGAGCCATTTTGCACAGCTACACTGTAAAAAAAACTCACATGTGGTACAGTGACACATGACACTAAAATAATGCAATAAACATTCATTAAACAACAGAAGATGTACCATAAAACCCAAATGTACATAACTGATAACAAAAACTTTTAAGGAACATGATTATTTAAACAAAATACTTTAAATTTTCGAGTGTCACACAGGGAATTCTTGGAATATCAGTTTTGCAGTTTTTGACAGTTTTTAAATGGTATATTGATTTTACTTCTAAAACTGTACAATTAACAGCATTTTGCTGTAAAATTATATGAAATGTCTGGTTAGATCTTTTACAATTTATTATAATAGTATGGGAACTGTTAACGTATATATAAGCCAAAAACCAAAGGGAACAAAGAACAGAATGACTGGCAAACAGACAACCATTACATTCCGTGTGTTTTGAGTTTGAGCTCCGTCAAGTTAATTCTTTGTCGTCTAATTTTATACACCATGATTTTCGTTTCTATAACGTGTGAATATATATAATATATCCCCTATCGTATTCTACAACAAAAACAATCAGAGCGCCTTGTTATCACTAGTTCTATTTTTGACTTCCCGAGTCCGCTATTAGCATATAGCCCGCTAGCATCGCCAGCGTGGTTGCCGCTAATCTCGCTTACATTGCTAATACACTATTCACTGTTACTTGCTTTAATGGCAGATGTGTGTCTACCTTTGAGTGCAGGTGAGGACACGTTTGAGCTGCATTCGGTGCAGCTCGAGCTGGAGGCCGTGGAGAAGCAGATCCGCGACCTGGTGGAGAAGCAGACCCAGCTGAGAGAGCGGAGAGCGGAGAGCTGGAAACATCTCAGGCTGACACTCACGTCAAGTCAAGTCAAGTCACCTTTATTTGTATAGCGCTTTTAACAATACAGATTGTGTCAAAGCAACTGAACAGCATTAATTAGGAAAATAGTGTGTCAATAATGCAAAAT